ATATATTTTATTTATTCTAACGCATCCCTGAACTATATGCTGACTCAGGCCACTAAACACTGTCAATGATATCTATCCCATTTACCAAGATCAGATATCACAAGACCACATGCCACCAACGTACTCCCAATTACCAAGAGCTACGCCACCTAACTTCACATGGAGTCTAGGTGCTATAAGTCGATCGTCCCTGAGAATTCAGGCCAAGAACCTTGTCTTGCCTAGCATGCATAGATAATAATCCCCGTCGGGATTGTAGGCGACTGATCAACCTCGTGCGTCCCATACCGCACGGCAGTGGACTTACACATTCCTCAATGCAAGTCTATATGATCACTCAATCATCTTGTGGTAACTCTCAACCATAAGTATTAAGTTAATAATGGGGAATTATCGTATCAACTTTTCAAGTTATACTTATTATCTAGATACTTAGGTTGAGTACCAAATCCATCAAATGTCTTGCCACATCTCTTAACTTCCCAGGTAAGAGAGGTGGACTGTAAAGGATATAGTCGACCAAGTCTTTTCTTAGCCAGAACCCAACCAAATACAACTACTCAATATATCCAACTTTCCTTTAGTTATTGGGGATCAATTTCTTAATATCTAGCAATGTTGTTCTCTCATTAACCGATTATTTCCTTAGTCTATCAATCACAATCATTCAAGTATAAATAAAATAAACAATTATAAAATCAATCGAATAATGCAAGAACAACACAATCTCAAATTGTCACAGATTATTCCTATGATAAATAATTAAGGTTGGCGTAACCTCGCCTAGTGATTCCCGAAAATCATTATTTGAGAATATGCCTTCCTTACTTACTTATCGCTAGTAGGGCTTAGGTCACCACTACACACACACACACACACACACATATATATATATATATATATATATATATATATATATATATATATATATATATATATATATATATATATATATATATATATATATATATATATATATATATATATATATATATATATATATATATATATATATATATATATATATATATATATATATATATATATATATATATATATATATATATATATATATATAAAGTTATTTTACGCTAACCGTCCCAACGTATACGAAATCTTGCCCCCACCTTTTGTTGAGTGTTGTTGAAAGTCCACGAGCGTTGTCTCCGATCTTTGCCAAGAACCTAATTTATGATAACCGTTGGATTGTACGAAATTTATGAAATAGTTAGAATATAATTTATGGTTAATTAAACATAATCCCGTTATAACTTGAAATATTTATTTATTTAAATATATAATAATAACCTCCATTATATTTAAATAATTATTAAATTCAAATATAAATTATATTATGCCTCCTTTTGAATTTGTTTGTTTTAGAAAATTGTCAAGAGTATATTTCTAATAATATTTGAACTATAATAAAATTTGGGCTTTATAACGACTTAAAATGGTAAAATTTATTTTGGACTTTATAAGTTCAATATCTCGACGTCTGAACGGAATTTGCATAGAAATTCTAAAATAACCTTTATATAGATAACATAATTAAAATAATATAATTAAAGTAAAATGGACATTATAACGGCTTACCGATTACTTATGAAAATGATTTGGGCAGAACTTTGACGTATAAAACTCCTTGGAAACTTTAGAAGAACTTTTACCACAAAATACTCTAAAAGTTACGAACCGATATCGTGACTTCGATAACTAAAACTAATATTGCTATATAAAGAAATTAGAGAAGGAAAGAAGTAAAGAAGTAAGAAAGATGATTTGTGAATGAGTGAATGAAAATGGGGTGGAAAAGACCCCTATTTATACTAGTGGTAAAATATTAAAATAACATAACTTTATCTTCTTTTGCCCATACCTTCCAATTTTTCAACTCTTGCTAGTAAATGTCTCTATCAAATATTTACTAATCTTACATCAATAGTCTTTTAGGTGTTCTAGTATGACTTTGTGAAAATAATTTATGACAAAGGTATGGGAGCTTGATTTTATGACATAATATCATGTAGGATATTAATAGAAAATGATATATATATATATATATATATATATATATATATATATATATATATATATATATATATATATATATATATATATATATATATATATATATATATATATATATATATATATATATATATATATATATATATATATATATATATATATATATATATATATATATATATATATATATATATATATATATATATATATATATATATATATATATATATATATATATATATATATATATATATATATATATATATATATATATATCTTTTATAATAATAATAATATTAATAATGATAAAAATGGTAACAAGGATAGTTATTTGATATATTTATTGACTTAAGATTATTTTATTTACTAATTAGTTTGTAGAATAAAGTGATAATATTCAAATAAAATAAAATCAATTAATAATAATAACAAAACAACAACAACAACAATAATGATAATAATAATAATATGAATAATTAATTAACTTAAAGTTAAGTGTTTTAAGTATTAATCAAAGTTTAGTTTGTAAAATGAAACGATCATATTCAAATTGAAGAATAAATGTAATAAATAAATAAATAAGGTAATTAATTAATAAATTAATTATTATAAGTGTTAGTTTCAACATTTAGTTTTTAATAACTAGCATTGCTAAAATATCAAATCTAATTAGATATATTATTTAGTGTATGGAAAATTAGGATGTTACAGGGAGCGGAGATGCCTGCATCCAAGGGCCATATGAAAGATCCTTCTCTTCAAGTTGTTCGAGACCTTCTTTACTCATATCTTCGATTGCCTCGAAATCTTTCAGCTCATGGCCCAATTTCCTGCAGACAAAGCATCAAGTTGGAACTCTTTTGTACTTGAAGAAGACTCTCAAGTTTTTGTCTTTAAATCTCACCACCGTGCCTCTTTTCAACGGAGGTTTTAGATCTAGTGTGACCTTCAACCGGAGGAATCTACCATTTCTATGGACATCTTTTAGACCCATTTCCTAAAAAGCTCCTAGAATTCCACCCAGTTTGTACGCCATTGATTCAGTTTTGAGCATTAAAGGGAGATCATAGACCCTTACCCAAAAACTTCTGAAGTGCATATTCAACGCCGAGGGTTACTCTTCCCCGGACACTCGTGCAAGAACAAGTAGGTTTCTGTCGAAACTCCACGGACCATTTCACAGAACATTCTCCAAATCTCTCTTTGTTGAAAAACTGAAGCGGAACAAGTTCTTACTCAGTTATTCTTCTTTTGACAGCGATAACGCCTTCCATTTCTCCATAGAAAAGACAACCCTAAGAGCAGAAGACCTACCAGACTAAGGAGGAGAAACCAACAGTCGTAGGAGGAAAAAATCAAAGAAATGGAGAAAAACTCACAGAACCCTTGGGTAATAGGAGACAGAAGCACGTTAAGCTTTCTAGAGAGAGGAGGGACCTTCTCTCACTAAGGATTTAGGACTATCATAGCCAATCTTTTAATCATTATGACATGATATTGATGTGATGTCTTATTCATTCATTAATTAATTAGTATAATAATGGGTAGTTTGTTGTGAGTCTGCATCAAACATGAGCTGCATCATCAGAGAATACTGTTGTTTTTACTTTACTAGATCATTAGAGAGTATTTTTATTATACAATGTGATGTTTACAAAACAAAAGACACCTTCATTGCATATATTCTAATAATTCTAAAACCTTTACAATGTTATAGTGCCAAATCTTGTGGCATATATTCGAAGTATTATTTCTTGATTTTCTTATTGAAATTTTGAATTGGTTATATACCTCTAGATTTTATGAACATTTGCAGCATCTAGAAAGTGTCAGATTCAGGCTCAGTTTGACCAAGGGCTTTATAGCTATGTGACTCTGGAAGCTAAGCGAAGGTTTTGTTGACTAAGCCTTATCCGTGTTTAAAATAGTTTCATGTTAAATTTAATCAATTATGTGTTCACCTTTAAAGGTGCTTAAGATAAAAGTTGCATATTTCTATAGTAAAAATATTAATATGCTTATTTTTTGGGTCTATTATGTTAAAAAATTTATGATAAACTTTTTTTTAATAAAAAAGCAGTCTTATTCTTATTAATCCTCTATGAACGATTGATAATTAAATAGACAGGATAATTATTTTATCTCAAATTATGTAAAATAATTTTTTTTTTAATTTAGAATTTTAATTTTGTATTTATACATTTTTCTTTTATATTTTTATTTATCTAACTTAATGTCTCTCATTATTTTTTTAAACAATTTTGAAATTTTTTTTTAATATTTTCAAAAAATTTTAAAATGTCAGTATTGTTTTGTTATTTAAAAAAATGCATTCTTGCTATAAATTCACATTTTTTTAAAGTAACTAATTATCGATCATTCAAACATATGTAATTTTTTAGTTTGAGTTAATTTGTGAAAGTAAGTTTATAAAATTTATCCATAAGAATAATTATGTAAAATTATATTTCACATAGATAATATTTAAATATAAGAATAAATTGGTGCATATACATATTTCTTATTAGTTGAAATAATTGAATTCTTTAAATAAAAGAAGACATTTGGATATCGGCATCGTACATATTTAATCGATACCTGATACCGTCATCATTAGTTAGTTTTCATCAATTTGAATTTGTTTTCAGTAACTAATAGCGGTTAAGTCATATGTCTAAAATCTAAATATACGTAATGCTTATTACAAAATAACTATCATCAAAATCCATATATCTCATCATAGATTATGAAAATTTCAGCATTCTGGAAGATACTAGCAACAAACAATGTAAACTGTATTTGCAATAAGTAAACTGCATTTGCCAGCTCTAATACATCAATATTCATAATAACTTTGCATGTTATTCAGGTAAAAGAAACATATTATTTAAATGAGAAGAAAAAACACACATTAACATAAGAAATTAATCAAGAGGCCTCGTAGAGAAGAAAGAACAATATAAGAAAAGATGGAGATGGCAAATTATGCATGTTATATTGTATCATTTAGTGCTTCAAACAATATCTGGATGACTGGTGATGTTATGGTAAAACGCGTTCCTCTTTTGTATCTCCAAATTGCTTATGGTATTTTTGTTTCTCGGCTTTTCTACTTTGTCCTCAAGTCCCTTCGTGTGCCCCTCATTATTGAACAGGTGTTGGTAAGTATTCATTTGTCATATATTTCTTTCTTTCTTTTGCCCGTAAATTTGAATCATTGATACACATGATAATTAGTCACATTGAATTTTCAACGTAAAAACATATAAGTTCATACATTAAGATTGCATTTCATAAATGAGAGATAAAAAAATATAATAATTTCTGAACTTTCTATAATGCAGGCTGGTTTTACTCTGAGTCCAACTCTCTTGGGAAATTTCAAATGGGTATTTCCCTTGTTTTATGGTCAATATGAAATCCTACTCGTTGAAACCTTTGCAAACTTAGGAATAATGTACTATGTGTTCCTGAGTGGATTAGAATTGAACGCAGACACCATCTTAAAATCAAGGAAGAAAGGTACAAGCATAACAATTACTAGCATTGTGACACCAATGTTATTTGGTGTTGGATTTCTAGATCTACCACAAAACCTTATAGATAAAAATGATGTTTTCGCACAAACACCAAAAGAAAATCACGGCGAAGCATATTTATTCTGGATTTTAACATTTTTTGTAACATCTTTCCCTGTCCTTGCAAGAATCTTAGCAAATCTTAAACTTTTATATACAAAGCTTGGAAAAGATGCATTGACAACATCTATGTTAACCGATTCATATGGTTGGGTAATGTTCACGTTGTTGATTCCTTATTCGAGTAGAGGTGGAAAGCCTTATCTCTCAGTAATCTCTACTTTGTTGTTCATAGTTTTTTGCTTTATTGTGGTGAGACCTATCCTTACTCCAATGATTGAACATAAAACAAGTACGAACACGTGGCGAAAATCACTCCTGTTGGACGTGTTGACGGGAGTGTTTATTTGTTCGTACATTACAGATTGTCTTGGTACACATCTTATTGTTGAAGCTTTTGTGTTTGGATTAATTTTGCCTCGTGGAAAGTTTGCTTATATGGTTTTGGAAATGACAACTGATTTTGTTTCTGGGATTCTTTGTCCTATTTACTTTGCTGGATTTGGTTTTAGACTCAACTTACCTTTACTTTTGAAGCATAAAAATGCAGGTTTAATGTTGTTGATTATGCTTTTGTTATCCATACCTAAAGTTTTGAGCTCTCTGGTTGTCACTTTCTTTTTCGATATGCCTGCTCGAGACTGAGTTGCCATTGGATTGCTTCTCAACACCAAGGGTATCATGGTTGTCATACTACTGAATGTTGCTTGGGACAAAAGGGTAATTTTAAACTACTAACTTTTTATTTTGCATGATTTAAATGAAACGGCCTTTTAATTAAGTTATTGTTTTTTCGTCTTTCTTTGTAGATTTTGGATCCATATACTTTCATGGTTATGATGCTTGCTATTATAGTAACGAATGTGATGGTCTCTCCCTTGATCAATGCAATATACAAACCAAAAATTGAATTCATGCAATCATAATTAAGGACCTTCCAAAAACTGAGGTTAAATATGGAGCTTCAAATCGTCGCTTGTGTCCACAATGTTAGACACGCCAATAACATGATCCTTGTCATTGAAACCACAAATGCTACTAGACTTTCACCTATACATGTCTCTATAACTCACCTAGTTCAACTCACTAGACATGGCACAACTATTCTTGTTTCCCAAATTGATAATTCAAACAGCACAGTTGGTGGAACATAAGCAACCAACTATGGATCACAACTAGAGTTTGAGAGCATAACCAATGCATTTGAAAAACTCGTAGAACAATACAATGGGGTTAGGTTTGACATGTCAAGTGATGTCTCGTCCTACACAACTATCCACGAGGATATTTACAATGTTGCCGAAGAGAAACGCGCGAGCCTAATTCTCCTTCCCTTTCACAAAGAGTTCTCAACAATAGAAGATGCCCCGAAAATGATCCACAATTAACATTGTGAGATAAATAAGAATGTGCTACAACAAGCACCTTGTTCAGTAGGGATCTTGGTGGACCACGGTTTAAGATCGTTGTTAAAAATAAAACTGCCCATTATAATGATTTTTATCGGTGGACCTGACGACTGTGAAGCCTTGTCTATTGCATGGAGAATGGCGGGGCATCCAGGAACCCAAATACATGTTGTGAGGATCAATTTGTTAGGTAAGGCTGCAGATGAAACAAAACAAAAAATGGAAAAAAGCAAGTCTCGTCACGAAATGTTGTCAACTATTATAGACAATGTGATGCAAAAAGAGTTGGATGAAGAGTGTATAATTTCCTTCAGGCACAAGGCATTGAACAATAACGATTCCATTATTTACTCAGAGAAGGAAGTCCATTCGAATACCGGCGAAGAGATTCCAATGCTTCTTAACGATATTGACAAACCTGGATATGATTTGTACATTATTGGACAAGGAAGTGGTAAGAACTCGGTGATCTTTTTGAGGTTGTTGGAATGGTGTAACCATTCTGAACCTAGTGTTATAGGTGACATATTGGCTTCAAATAGCTTTGGTACGCAGTCTTCTGTGCTTATTGTGCAACAGTATTTGGTTGGGAGAAAACGTGTTGTTAAAAAATGTCATGAAGTGAAAAGTGGTACTGAAAATTTGTAAGAAATTGATCCATGACACAAAGTTTTGGATTAATGAATGAAAATTCTGGCAAGCACACGATGGATGTTATTTCTAAAGTTATAACATCCACTGTGACATCTGCTACTTAATAGCTAATAATCAGGGATAATTAAAAGCAGTAAATAACACATCAATTGTTTACCCAGTTTAGTGTCAACAACACTTACAACTGGGGGCTACCAAGCCAGGGGGAACTTCACTATTAGCATAATTAATTCAGAGTCAAACAACACAGTTTGCACTCCTCACTTAAAACCTACCCAATTAAAATTCAGCCTAGAGACACTCTAGACCTGAGTATACCCACTCACTCCCCCTTAATCACACAACAGTGATATCAAACAATTACAGAAGACAATATGAAGAGACACTTCATACACGCCTTGATCTTGCTTCACAGCTTTGATCAAGGAACTCACACACTCTTGCTTCACAACTTTGAGTGAGACACAGCCTAGAATCTACCTATCCAATGCAAATCATCCACCAGACAATTGCTTGGAGTACAAGTATTCCTAGACAAAATTCACACGTGAAGACTATCCTTCTTCACTTACAAGGACTCTGCAATCTGCACTTTATATTCTTCTGATGTCAAGAGTTGTTGTTCAGGATTACATCTTCTGATCTTTATAGCAGTTGTCAGTCCTTTTTGGGCCTTGGTGCATAAAATAGGTTTTACTCATAACAAACCTATTTTCAATGTTCTGCACACTTGCCACTTAATTCAGGGATCTTTTAGTTCGCCTAGGGCTTCTATAAAATCTCATGATATCCATCTTGAGCTCCTATTCTGTTTCCTGGTTTATAGATACCAGAAAAACAAACTTGTCCGCTGGATGTCATACGTTTAGTGTTATGACATTCTGTATGACATTCAGCTTAACTAAGTTAACTTATAGTTAACTTACCCTGCACACACATCATTAAGTATGTCCTAACATTCTGTATGACATACATGAATACTCTAAAGTTTTTCCACAAAATGCAGCCAATCAAGAGCACTTACAAACTCCCCCTTTGGAAAAGTTTTGGCTAAAACACCTTGTTACCATACCAGAGTTTACACACAGCAGAAGACTTATGATGTGTCATGTCATGCAGGATAGTTACTAGCTCAAGCCACTGAGTCTTAGTTAGCTCTTACTGTTAGTTCACTTTGTTAACTATCTGTAGAATACCACTATAGATGACACTCTTTGCTGAGTGAGTAACACACAGAGTTACTCCCCCTCAACTGATGCACTTTATCAGTTGAACACTTCACCTGCTCATACAGCAGTCACTCATACTAACATTCATCATGTGGATGTTCAGACCTTCAGAATGACATTCTGAAGTCACACACAAGGTTAGCTCCTAGCTTCTTCATCACATAGCTCCTAGTTCTAACACACATGCATTCATATTCAAGCTAGAAATACATATCACTTCATTGCTAACAGCACTATCAGCTGCAATCACTCATTTCATCAGCTGCACCTGTGGTTACACCTGCAAGCACTATCAGCTGCTCTCACTCATTTCACTAGTTGCACTTGTGGTTACACCTGCAAGCATGCAAGTCTAATCTCATATGCACAAAGGCACATATGTTCAAGCTAGTTCTCCTTGTTCTTCCACCTGTTGTACCTGCCTAGCTCATGTTGTTCTCACGTATTTATACACACGTTGATCTTGCTTCACAACTTTGATCAAGAACTCACACACTCTTGCTTCACAACTTTGAGTGAGACACAACCTAGAATCTACCTATCTAATGCAAATTATCCACCAGACAATTGCTCGGAGTACAAGTATTCCTAGACAGAATTCACACGTGAAAACTAGCCTTCTTCACTTACAAGGACTATGCAATCTGCATTCTATATTCTTCTGATGTCAAGAGTTGTTGTTCAGGTTTTACTCATAAAATAGGTTTTGCACACTTGCCACTTAATTCAGGGATCTTTTAGTTCGCCTAGGGCTTCTAGAAAATCTCCTGATATCCAGCTTGAGCTCCTATTCTGTTTCCTGGTTTATAGATACCAGAAAAACAAATTTGCCCGCTGGATGTCATACGTTCAATGTTTTGACATTCTGTATGACATTCAACTTAACTAAGTTAACTTATAATTAACTTACCCTGTACACACATCATTAAGTATGTCCTAGCATTCAGTATGACATACATGCATACTCTAAAGTTTTGCCACAAAATGCAGCCAATCAAGAGCACTTACAATGAATATTTTGTATAGTTAGAATGATTTGTTTTCATATTTTTTTATATAAATTAAGTGGTTAGACTCCATATACCATATTTCAATATTATTTATAAAAAACAGTTGAATCATTTTATGCGTCTGTCTGTACCTACATTACATGTTTTACTTATTTAAATGATAAGATATTTAATATAATTTATTTATAATATATTAAAATAGAATAACGTGGTTTTAAGCCAGCGTAAGTACGTCATATGAAAGATAAATATACATATTTATAATATATTAAAATATAATAATGTGGTTTTAAGCCAACATAAGTACGTCATATGAAAGATAGAGATACATATATACTCTTACTTATGCACCGTATGGTTTTGTTCATGTACCATGCATTTTTGCATTTTGGATTGAACAAAATTAAAGCGTATAGAGTCATTAGATTTCACTTTTAGAGTGGAAGATCAATATTTAAGGGAAATTCTTTTTCTACTTTATGCGTGACTCACACCTATGCAAATTTAAAATTTCTCTCAAGTGTTTTGGAGACACATCTCACTAGATGCATTTTTAATCACCTTATCCTTCGTAAATCAAGCAACTACTTCAATTTTTCCAAAAATTAATCTGGAGATGCATCGACGGAATTTTCTAGAGTATATTTGGTAATGCATCTCCAAAAACACCATTGAGTGCATTTTAACCTATTTAAACAATATTATTTCAGATATGCATCTTCAGAATCTTAACTACATACATCTTGGGTAGAAACAATGTTCTAAGTTTTTATTTTATCAAATCAATAGTCATTTTAATTCGACTAACAGTGCCATGATTTGATTCAAACATTAATAAATACGAACATCATAGAACAAGGTAATGTACTAATTAAAAAAATATCCCATAATAAAAAAAACACCCCAAAATACAAAAAAAAAACATAACCTACTGCGTATACCTAATCCTAACCCCTTGGCTCCTCTTATGCCGGCAGTAACCCGTGGCATTCTGGGACTCGCTAAGAATGACACGTGCAAGGGCAACCACATTATTGTCATGTCTCTCAAATAGCCCAGACTCTATGCCCTCATACATAATCCACCCACTTTGTCTCTTCCACTCCCCATGCAATCCTCAATCCAACACTCACTGAAACTAGTTTTAACTTTAATAGTCAGAACTTCCTCTTTCTTTAGACACGATTACATAAGAAATAGAGCACTGGAGTTTTCAAGATGGATGAGCCTCAAGAAGGCTCCAACTGCACGGGGATTCCCCAAACCCCTATAGTTCCAGCTTAATATTTTCATTGGGATAGGCGGTGTTGGTCTTCCAACACCACCTCTGATACTAGATTGTCAACCTTGTCACCATTGAGACTTTTCCTTTTCTTTTCGTCGCTTCCACATTCCTCTACAGAACCCTCCACAATCATAACGTCCACCACCTGACTTTTACCAAATTTCTTCTCTAGCTTCCACAATCATAACGTCTACCACCTGACTTTTACCAAATTCCTTCTCCAGCTTCTACACTTGGATGGGGCCTTTCTTCCTTGGACCTACATAATTGCTTTCCCTAGATTACTCGTTCCTTTGTTAGAGATATCCACCGCTCCAAGGGATTCAGCCACTGCCTCAATTTCCAAGTTTTCCTGATGCTGGCCAATTAGGAGAGTGCCTAGAGGCTTCTCAAAGTTCCCATCTTTCGTCCTACCCCCTACCTTTTTAACTTCTTCATCCCCATCCTTCTCTTTTCCTTTACTTTCGCACTTACTGTTACCAGAGGAAGCATTAAAGACGCTCCTACTGCAAGAACTGGAAGTGGATTCCTTCTTGAGTTCTACCTGTACCCTAGGGAGCGGAGATTCCTACATCCAAGGGCCATATGACATATCCTTCTCTTCAAGTTCTTCGAGACCTTCTTCACTCATATACTCGATTGCCTCGCAATCTTTCAGCTCATGGCCTAATCTCTCGCAGATAAAGCATAGAGTTGGAACTCTTTTGTACTTGAAGAAGACTCTCAAGTTTTTGTCATTAAATCTCACCACCATGCCTCTTTTCAACGGAAGTTTTAGATGTAGTGTGACCTTCAACCGGAGGAATCTACCATTTTTATGGACATCTTTTAGACCCATTTCCTCAAAAGCTCATAGAATTCCACCTAGTTTGTACGCCATTCATTCAGTTCTGAGCATCAAAGGGAGTTCATAGACCCTTACCCAAAAACTTCTAAAGTGCATATTCAACGCCGAGGGTTGCTCTTCCCCGGACACTTGTGCAAGAACAAGTAGGTTTTTGTCGAAACTCCACGGACCATTTCACAGAACATTCTCCAGATCTCTATTTGTTGAAAAACAGAAGAGAAACAAGTTCTTACTCAGTTCTTCTTGTTTTGACAGCGATAACGCCTTCCATTTCTCCATAGAAAAGACAACCCTAAGGAGTAGAAGTCCTACCAGACTCTAGGTAAAGAAAAAGGTTGGGCAAATTTTGGGGTGCAACAGCTGCCCCTATTCAAACGGCTTGGACCTGACTGTCGCGGTGAAAATCGGATACCAAACTCTTGATTAGTTTGAATCTTTAATTCATTTTGCAACCGAACTTTGATTTGTCCCAAAGGAAGGATAAAGATCGAAATTCCCACAATGCAATGCAAATGCAAGCTAGAGAGTTATAGGTTCGGGGGTCAGTTAAACTTAGGGAAGGTACTAGCATCCTAAGCTTCTGTAGTACTCTACAGGAACCTCTTGTTTTATGTTTGTTTATT